GCCGCCCGAGCCACAGTTTTCGTGCGCTGGTGCCTGGAGCTGCCGCTGATCTCCTTTCTCTGTTCAGCCCCCTTGTTAAAGACTGCAACATCCCTGAACCTTTCTAACTGGGCAGGAGGAACATACGCTGTGACGGCACTAACCTAACCAAGCCAGCTCACTAGCTGTCTGTGTGTGGGAGCACAAAGGGGCATACAAATGTTTAGCATATCTGGCACGTAAATACCTTGCAAGCCGGCTACAATGCCGTATGAATACCTGTTCTCACTTTCAGCTGACATTGTAAATAAGAATCATAGACTCATAGGGCGTGTCTACACTTGCAAGTTGGAGCGCATTAAATCAGCCCCAGGCGCCCTAACTCCTGAAGTGTCCACACTGGCACGTAGAGTGCCCGGACTCCGCGGCTGGAGCGCCCTTGGTAATCCACCTCCACGAGAAGCATAGAGCTTTCTGCGTCCCAGTGTGGACGCCCTGGTCTATTAATGCGCTCTGATCAGCCTCCAGGAAGTGTCCCACAATGCCTGTTCTAGCCACTCTGGTCATCACTTTGAAGTCTACTGCCCTGCCCTCAGGTGACCAATCTTCAGACCTGCCCTTTAAATTATCTGAGAATTTTGAGAGTCCCCTTCCTGTTTGCTCAGCCAGGCGTGGAGTGCTCTCAGCGAATCTTTCCAGGTGACCATCTCTCCAGGCGCCAGGCGATCCCCAGTATGGAGCAATGGCGAGGTGCTGGACCTCATCAGTGTTTGGGGGGAGGAAGCTGTCCAGTCCCAGCTGTACTCCAGCTGTAGGAATTACGATACCTATGGGCAGATATCAAGGGCCATGATAGAAAGGGGGCATGACCAGGGCGCAGTGCGGTGCAGGATTAAAGTGAAGGAGCTGCGGAACCCCTACCACAAAGGGCAGGAGGCAAACAGCCGCTCCGGTGCTGCCCCCACAACCTGCCGGTTCTACAAAGGGCTGGATGAGATACTTGGGGGCAACCCCACCTCCACTCCAAAGAGCACCATGGACACTTCAGAGGCCGTGGCAGCCCAGAGTGCAACAAGGCAGGAGGAGGAAAGCGGGAGCGAGGGTACTGAGGAGGAGGGGGGCCCAGAGCCAGAGGACAGCCTGGCATCCCTAGATGCCTGCAGCCAGGAGCTGTTTTTAAGCCAGGAGGAAGGTAGCCAGTCGCAGCGGACGGTGCTTGGGGAAGAACAAACACCAGAGGAGGTGCCTGGTAAGTGGCTTTTATTTTGAGAAGGGAGTTGTTGGGTGTGGGCTGTTGGGGCGAGGAGAGTTAGGGCTGCGTGCATGCCTAGATGCGGAATAGGGCGTTGGTGTAGTCTCGCACATCGCGGTAAAGGGCCTCAGTGATCTCATTGAAGGTCTCATGCAGAAGCTGCGCAGGTTCCTTGGCAGAGCTGCCGTGCTCCTTGTCCCAGTCAGGCTAACATGTCCACACCAGTGTGCCGTGAGGGGTGGGGCGACCATTGCTGCACACAGGCAAGCTGAATATGGGCCAGGGCAGAAGCCGCATCGTAGTAGAAGGCCCTCTCTTGCTTCCCAGGTCACCCTCAGCAGTGAGATATCTTCCAGATATCTAACCCATCCTGTGGAAAATGTGGGGACAGTGTTCAGTATAGGGGCCCCCTGCAGCTGTTGGCTCTCCCCAAGGCACAGGATCCCAGAGAACAGTACGGTCCTGGAACAATCAGTCCCCCCTGCCCCTGTGGTTACTCACCATTTCGGGGCTCTTGTGGGTAATGTGCGCTCGCCTTGGGACAGGCAGTTTGTGTTATTGTGTGCACTGTGCTTGCCTTGAAGTTCGGCCAAATCATTGCTCTGTCTAGTGTGAACAATGCTGCCGCTGTTAAATGTTGCATTTTGGCTTTACAAATGCAACCTTGAGATCCAGCCGTCCTTGTTATCAAGGGCCGAAAGGCTACACAGACTCAGGAAGCAGCTGCGAAGAAGCAAGGAGGACCTTCTTAGAGGTTTTTAAGGCCCGGCTTGACAAAGCCCAGGCTGGGATGATTTAGTTGGTATTGGTCCTGCTTTGAGCAGGGGGTTGGACTAGATACCTCCTGAGATCCCTTCCAACCCTGATATTCTATGGCCTTGTCTACACTTGCAGATGTAGAGTGCCAGGAGTTAAACCAGCCCTCGGAGATAGCATCAGGGAAAGTGCTTCCATGTGTTCACACTGTCAGCTGCAAGGGACTCAGTGCTTCACCACCCTCCTAGTGAAATAGTGTTTCCTAATATCCAACCTGGACCTCCCCCACTGCAACTTGAGACCATTGCTCCTTGTTCTGTCATCTGCCACCACTGAGAACAGCCGAGCTCCATCCTCATTGGAACCCCCCTCCAGGTAGTTGAAGGCTGTTATCCAATCCCGCCCCCCCCCCCCACTCTTCTCGTCTGCAGACTAAACAAGCCCAGTTCCCTCAGTCTCCCCTCGTAAGTCATGTGCTCAAGTTCCCTGATCATTTTCGTTGCCTTCTGCTGGATTCTCTCCAATTTGTCCACATCCTTTCTGTAGTGGGGGGCCCAAAACTGGACTCAATACTCCAGATGTGGCCTCACCAGTGCCGAATAGAGGGGAATAATCACTTCCCTCGATCTGCTGGCAATGCTCCTACTAATGCAGCCCAATATGCCATTAGCCTTCTTGGCAACAAGGGCACACTGTTGACTCATATCCAGCTTCTCGTCCACTGTAATCCCCAGGTCCTTTTCTGCAGAACTGCTGCTTAGCCAGTTGGTCCCAACCTGTAGCGGTGCATGGGATTCTTCCGTCCTAAGTGCAGGACTCTGCACTTGTCCTTGTTGAACTTCATCAGATTTCTTTTTGCCCAATCCTCCAATTTGTCTAGGTCATACAGGACCCTATCCCTACCATCCAGGATATCTACCTCTCCACCCACCTTAGTGTCATCTGCGAACTTGCTGAGGGTGCAATCTATCCCATCATCCAGATCATTAATAAAGATGTTGAACAAAACTGGCGCCACGTCTGACCCCTGGGGTACTCAGCTTGATACCAGCTGCCAACTAGACATCGAGCCATTGATCACTACCCATTGAGCTCGATAATCTAGCCATGTTATAGTCCATTCATCCAATCCATACTTTTTTAATTTGCTGGCAAGAATACTGTAGGAGACCGTATCAAAAGTTTTGCTGAAGTCAAGATATATCACGTCCACTGCTTTCCCCATATCCACAGAGCCAGTTATCTCATCATAGAAGGCAATCAGGTTGGTCAGGTATGACTTGCCCTTGGTGAATCCATGTTGACTGTTCCTGATCACCTTCCTCTCCTCCAAGTGCTTCAAAATGGTGGAAGTGGGCAGCATTATCTCTAAAGTTTCACACTGTTCTGTTTTTGAGTGCCGTTATGTAAAAAAAAGTCTACGTTTATAAGTTGCCCTTTCACAATAAAGAGATTACACTAGAGTACTTGCATGAGGTGAATTGAGAACTACTTCTTTTGTTTCTCTTTTTTACAGTGCAGGTATTTGTCATAACAAATATAATACAAAGCGAGCACTGTGCACTTTGCATTCTGCGTTGTAATTGAAATCAATATATTTGAAAATATAGAAAAACCGAAAATATTTATACTAAATTCAAATTGTTATTCTATTATTAACAGTGTGATTAAAACTACAATCAATGGCAACTATTTTTTAATGTAGTTAATTTGCTTTGCATTAATTGCTTGTGTTAACTGCAATGAATTGACAGTCCTACTAAATATCTTTAAACATTTGGGGCTAGATGCCTATCTGCATCTTTAGGTGCCTAAATCATAGAATATCAGGCTTGGAAGGGACCTCAGGAGGTCATCTAGTCCAACCCCTGCTCAAAGCAGGGCCAATCCCAAGACAGATTTTTGACCCAGTTCCATAAATTGCCCCCTCAAGGATTGAACTCACAACCCTGAGTTTAGCAGGCCAATGCTCAAACCACTGAGCTATCCCTCCCCCCTTTTAAATAAATGAATGGAGATATCCCATCTCCTAGAACTGGAAGGGACCTTGAAAGGTCATTGAGTCCAGCCCCCTGCCTTCACTAGCAGGACCAAGTACTAATCTTGCCCCAGATCCCTAAGTGGCCCCCTCAAGGATTAATCTCACAACCCTGGGTGTAGGAGGCCAATACTCAAACCACTGAGCTATCCCTCCCTATATCTGGCCCTAAGTGACTGAGGAGCCTAAGTCCCATTTTGAAAGGCGGCTTGGTAGCTGATTAAAAGCATTTATATTGGTAGTGTATATTTTGGTAAAAATAAGCTATAACCAATAAAGAAACTGATACAGAAAAAGCAGGAATACCTCCTTTAGAAATGGATGTAACTATATTGATACTTCCCCCAGCATGGCTTCAGTTACACTGATACAAACATATAACTTCTGTTTACTGAAATAAGTTTTACCATTATGGACACTTTCAAAACCAATATGCAGTAGAACTTCAGAGTTACGAACACCAGAATTACGAACTGAGCAGTCAACCACACACCTCATTCGGAACCAGAAGTATGCGGTCAGGCAGTAAAGGAAAAGCAGCATTTTTATTTTGCATATTAAAGTTTCAAAGCTGTATTAAGTCAATGTTCAGTTGTGAACTTTTGAGAGAACATTTTCTTCAGAGTTACAAACCACCTCCATCCCCGAGGTGTTTATAACTCTGAGGTTCTACTGTAGTTAAATCAGTACAAAGACTTTGTATTGGCCAGCCTGAGAACAACGTGTTACACCAGACCAGAAGTTGTTCGAGCTGGGACACCTTTAGTACGGTAATAAGTCTGCCGACTCATCACTGGGCACATGGGTGGTGGCTAT